CCCTCATCAATCTTTATTACCATTGTATCGAAAAGCAACCGTTTCAATACAATGACCTAAAAGGACCCAAATGGATCGTTTAAAGTTAAAAATACAGTAATCGAGTTGATTAAAGCAATTTTCAGGTCTTTTCTGTTGACAATTTAAATTACCTGCTGAAAATACTCTTTTTTTATTTTTTCAATTTGAAAGCAATGGCAAAAAACATTTCCATTGTTATTATATACCCCGGTATTGCGATCAACGGAAACATCCAATGACATAAAAAATGGAAAACTAACGAGAAAATACACAGCGAGAGGCGAAATGATGTTTGTTCTACGCGCGCGTTTTATTTGAAACGGAAGCGCCAATTTTCATCAAATACCAAACATCGCGCTTCGCATAATAACGAATTGATAATAAATGTGCAAATTGAGGGGATCGGCTCGTACGCGTTTTACTAATTTTCAAATATGAACACGACTGTAAAATCCAGCAAATCAACATAGAACTCATTTACCAGCTTGTTTTATTACCATAATTAATTCTCCTTTTTGTCTTTGTGTCATCGCGCCATTAAGTTAACGACAGGAATATTTTAGTAACACACAGCAGATTTTCAAAGGTGTAATTGTGTTAACAGGAACTACACATGGTGCGTCTCCAAAAATATATGGTTATTACAAAAGTTAAAACGGGTATCTCCTTTAAATAATGAGAAAATAGGTTGGTTATTATTAGTTTCATTTAATTATAGTTGGTGTGAATTAGGTTAATGTAAACGAAATTCCGATATTAATATTTTATTTTAATACACAAACTTAACGCTAAAGAGTTATACAGTGAATTTTACTTAAGATGCAATATAGAAAAATATATTTCCGCAGAAACCAGGGCGTACCTTCTTACTTTGTTCCACATAAAATGCAACATCTCAGTATAATTTGACATTACAGTAAAACCTCGATGTAACGGATCAATACGCGGGAAGGTAGTGTTCGTTATATCTCAATAAAAATATATAATAATCTAGCGTTGAATAACAAATAAAACTAGACTAACACTAGCACTAAAACTAACAGTAGACCTAGAACTAGGAACATTCGGGTTTAGCCGTCTTTAGAGACGTGCGGCTAAACCCGAATGTTTCTAGTTCTAGGTCTAATGTTAGTTCTAGCGATAGTAGTACCTAGTTAGCATAAGATATTACTATGTTACATATTTTTATTACACTAAAACTAGAACTAACACTAGATCTAGAACTAGAATCATTCGGGTTTAGTCGTCTTGAGAGACGTGCGGCTAAATCCGAATGTTTGTAGTTCTCGGTCTGGTGCTATTTCGAGTTCTGGACTAGCACTATCACTAGAACTAACACAAGACCTAGAACTAGAATCATTCGGGTTTAGCCGTCTTGAGAGACGTGCGGCTAAATCCGAATGTTTCTAGTTCTAAGTCTAGTGTTAGTTCTAGTTTTACACTAGCACTATCACTAGAACTAACACAAGACCTAGAACTAGAATCATTCGGGTTTAGCCGTCTTGAGAGACGTGCGGCTAAATCCGAATGTTTCTAGTTCTAAGTCTAGTGTTAGTTCTAGTTTTAATTGTTGCGTGTTTAATTGTTTCAGCGTTGCGTTAAGCTATGTTCATTTTATGTGGGACAGTGCAGACGCATAGTAGTTTTGTAAGTATGGACTATGGTTAATGCATTCATATATTGCGAGTTATATGAAATTCCCGGTATACAAGATACTATTTTGGGTCAAACATCGGAATTTCCATGAAGAACTTCTGGTTTCTACAATATTTAAATCAATAAATGTTATAAATCTTAAAGGATAACAGCAGAATAGAACTCGAAAATTAATTCCACTTTACATAAACGAATACAAATCAGTTTTTTTTTCTCAACTAGCAATATACAATGCAATGTCTCGTACAAATCCCCAATGCGCGGACGGCAAATCGGGCAAGAACGGAATCTCCATTCGCCCCGCGGGTAAGTCACGGTACTCTGTCCTGGGGGGTCGAAATGGGAAAAAGTGGGTGTGCAAAGAGGGTGAAATAATCGTGGAGCGGGTTCCGCTCGCGTATGATAAACGAACGAAAGAACGAACGGCCCCTCGTTTTATATTATAGCGGATTTCGCGGCTACACAGTCGGAAATTCAAATGGGGCCCCATTTCTACCATTGAAATTGTAATCAGACTGAACTGAAATATTAATCAACTAACCTCCGTACATACGCGCCCTGGCTACGTCGAGACGATCACATTTACTTGCAAATTATTTCGATGTAATGGTACTTGAAGAAAATTAGATTGACCTAAATGCCACCTTTTAAAATTGAAAATTCCATAAAGTTTTCATTCAGTTTAAGCTGAAACGTAACTGACGTTGTAAAAATTAAATTTATCAAATCAAATATAGTTTAGTAATTGAATAATATTCAATTCATCATTGATTTTGAAAAGAAACGAATTAATTCGTAACAAAATTGTTCCTTTTCGAGAATTGTGGCACTTAATTGATTGTGAATTGCTGAAATGAATTGAATTACATTGTTTCTCGGTTTGTTTTCCTGTTAAGAATTTTTTACCACGCTGTAATTGAGGAAATGGTGGCGCTCTTTTTAAGAACCATTAAGAAGATAAAAAAAATGCGGTACAAAAGCTAGGGTTGGACGTTAATGCGATATAGGGGTTTATTGTTGGAAGGTACGCGGTGAAATTCGGAGAAGAATGTGCTGCAAAAAAGAAGTGTAAAGAAAATTACTACGTTGGCCTGATGGTTTAAAAGGAAAAAGGTGTATTAGTCTTTTGACCTGCTAATTTCCGCAGTATGAACAGAACCTTCATTTACTAATTTTATGAACATAATTGGATCTTTTTGATCTCAGTTGATATGAGAAAAATTTTTTTAATATAAAAGTTTTGTGGATAAAACACGAAACTAATTTATCTATGTAAATAGTACTGGGTATATGACGTTTTAAACATTGTATCAACATAATACAACGATTACATTAAAGGGAACAAGTATCAATGTGAAATTGAATATCTTGAGCTGTTCCTTATGGTTTTATGCGGATCCTTTTGTATCGGATGTCTACTATTGGTTTACAGTATAAGTAACAAACACATTAATTCCCCAATATTTAGTAAAGCACACCACTCTCCTAAATCTTGTCTATCCATCGATTTGGTGAGCGTCCTCTGAACCTTCGTTCCTCTACGTTTCCCGATACTATTAACCACATTTCAAACGCATCAATTCTCTTCTATCCGCTGCTTTAATTGTCCAATAAGCCCTATATCGAAAGATGGTAGTTTCCAAATCTTAGATAGTCTCATAGCACTCCCTCTTGAACCTCTGTTATCAATATAGGAGGCTAAGTACATGATCTGGTCTACTATTTGAAATCTGTGTAGAGCATCCGTCAGTTGCAAAACATCAGAACGATCGACGATCATAATTTTTGTTTTTTCTGCGTTAATCTGAAGCCCACATTTATGACTCTCAGTCTCCACTCGGTTTAAAAGATCCACCGTTTCCTCTTCTGGTATAGCTATCAAAGTTGTATCGTTTACAATCTCAGGTTTGTAATCTTTTTCTTTTCCCCGCAATTGAGATTCCTCCATAACATTCGTCCAATGTATTTCTCATTATGTATTCTCTATAGATGTTAAAGAGGTTTGGAGAGAGTATGTATCCCTGGCGAACAGTTGTCCAGGGATCTTGATGTTGTCGTAAAGGCTTGTGTAAAGTTTTTAAAGTGTTGTGGTATTGCGTGATCTCCGAAAGCTTAGGTCTTTGCTTAGGTGATTTTTTTTTGTCAACTACCCTCAAAGGAACACATACATAAAAAAGTTTAAATTAATTTTAAAACATATCTTAATTATTTTAAGGATACTTAATTTATTTATATAATATAAATAATACATATATATATTATTATATTATTTATATATTTATATATTACATATGTATATTCAGTTGATCATTAATATTTGAAACCGGTTCTGTGCATATTTAAATAAATATGCAGTTGAGAAATACACATTGCGATTGCACCGATAATTTAGAATTTACAAATGCGGCATTAATAATGTTAAAATATTTTTGAAAATTTGTGCTATTTATTTTGGTTTTATATTCGATCGTATATTTTAACAGCATTATTTGTTCGGGAGTTTATTACCATAATTACTGAAAACCTCGTCCAATAAATTTCAACGTTTCGTTATTTATATTTGTTAAATTAAACATCTATTTCAACACCAAATTTCAGCTTGTAAAGTATTGTAGCACAAAACATACTCACTTCCGCATATAATTTACCCCGTACACACATTTTATTTTTATTTATTATTATAAAGTGCTTAGCTAGTTTATTAATAAATTTATTACTGAATTCTAAACAAAAATTTTCTTTGTAATCACATTTGTTTACAATAATCACTTAATTATGCGCGATTTTTCATTCGAATATGTATTATGCATTTCATTTTCGGATATTTAATTAACTTCCATATTTTTAAATTATAGTCAACTTAATCAACAACATAAAATTGGTACATTGTTACGGAATAAATTACCCTTCTCTGTTTATAATCGGTAATTGTAATTAATTTTAAATTATCAAACTGTATTAGTTCCGGTTGTGGTATTTCACTAAAACTCGTTGACTGTTAGCATCAAATTTCCATTTCCAACGTTAAATATTTACTTTATTAAATTTCTAATGCAAATATCAAATATTTGTAATTAATGTTCCGTATTAAGGTTATTTTAGAATATTACAATCACAATGACGCAATAGAAAGAAAATGTGTTTAAATAAATTTCTTGATGCTTCCACTTTTCTATACTTTCATCTTTTATCATGAGCCAACCTTACTAGATCTTCCTACCTTGACCTTTATAAAACTTACTATGAAACTAATGAGTTCATCACAATATAAATTATTTTAATGAGTTTTTTTAACAAAGTCGTTTCTTATTTGCTTGTTTTAGTTTTGAAATGATATCACTTCGAGGGTTGGAGGTGTTGGCGAGGGCCGACATCGACCGAGTTCCAAGTAAAGAAGAGCCTGGTGAAGAAAAGTACTTAACGCCCTATTAGAAACGATAGACAATATGGCTCTTAGAATGAGGTCATCGGTAACACGAAGACTGTCCGTGTTCGCTTTGGCCCTGTTGTGTACAACCGCCGTCGTTCTGCTGCTGTTTGGCGGAAACGGAACGTCGGGGGTCGGAAGTGGTGCTCCCGAAACTGCCGCCGTCGTCGTCCACGACAGGACTCTCGTCGATTCAAACGGCAAGCCATACGAATATAGCAGGTCGATGCCAATGATATTTATTGGGGGCGTGCCTCGTTCTGGAACTACACTCATGAGGGCCATGTTGGATGCTCATCCAGATATAAGGTTCGTATAATAATATTCGCATTGAACGCAATATAATATGCCTAATTTTCCAACATAATCATTAAATGGTTTATTGAGATAGGACTGTTTGAATGGAACCAACACAGTGGTAGTTATTTGAGCTTTCACGTCCGGTTTTGCCTCGGACATATTAATCTCTATTCAAATCAAATTTCCGCTTGACTTTGCATTGCGGAAACAACTTCGTTTGACGAACAAAGTCCATGTTTACTCGGAACTTATTAACGGGATACAATTCTCTCCTGTGAGGTATAGGGGGTCGCTGATCGGTGAATTTTAATTGCGATCGTCGATTACACCAAACACGACTGAAACTAATCAGACCATGACCATATGGCTCTCAACAGTTGCTCGAACGTATTTGCGCAAATTGGGCAAATTGGAGTAGTGTCAACAATGCGCTCTCCGTCCGATGGCAATAAGTGCCTAATTTGTCATTTGCTCGACGACTCGACTAATTACTACTAACCGTATGTTGCGATTACTTACAATTTCAATCTAGATTTGTAACACGAGTATTATTAAATATTTTTATGGCAGAATATATAGATTTTTAATTTTGATTTATGATGGTTTTTATTTTTATTATATTTTATCTAGAAATACATTTCGAATTACATGATATGAAGTTAATAAATAAATTTTTTGGCAACCACATCAAATCTTTTACCCGTTTAATTACGTTGTTGATTACAAGATTGGTTTTACGATTACCACGTTAGCCACCCAATTTTCATACGAGGTAACTTGGTGATAATGCGTCTGCGGACGGAGGTGTATTATTAACAGTGATTTACAGTACCACCCCCTTACGTTTGTACACCCTTCTGCTACACCAACAAATGGTTTGGACCAAGAGTCGTAATTTATGGAGCCAATTTAGGAACTAAACTGGGTAGAAACCTTGCTTGTTGGAAATTTAGACGGGTTAGCTTTTGCGTTTTTTTTTTAAATGATGAACCACCAAATTAACAAATAGTTTCTAGTTTATTTGAAGGAAAATAAATAAATTCAAATCATTGGGGCGCGTTTATTTTATGTGCTTAAAGTTAAACGATCTCCATTATGCCGTTTTTTCACGCGACATGATATACTTTATACATAGACGACGACAAATCCCTTCGAGAACACTCGACGCCTTCTTTTTCTGTATCCGTATAGAAAAGTTTTCCACTAATTGGAGTTGGGATATGAAGCTTTGCTGCTCCAGGATAATGGATTGCGTTTTCCTTCGTCGAGAAACGTATTTACGAAATAATGTCTGGAGATGAAAATTTTTCCTCTTTTCCACCTCCAAGTACATTTTAATTACATCTTTTTTCTTACAAAACTCATTATAATAGTTTCTTATAGTCTCTTTTGTCTTTTATATTTTTCGAATATGCAATAGTTATTTATAGTACAAGTGGGCTAGAAACATAATCACACGAGTACTGTAATTATGCTCTAGCCCACGTGTGATATACAGCATTTTATCTACGACCGCTAAAAATTACTAAAAAATCAATTTCTTTAAAAAACTCTATTTGACATTTATAAAAATATTTTGATATGATTGTTGACAATTTTGAATTGTCAGTTTCAACCACATGTTTACTCATCTGGAATAAGTGTTTTGAAATGTAAAAAACATAACGATTAATGTTTATAATAAATAGTATTGTTTCTCTGAAAGTAGATAGCACTTTTTCTTTTGTATTGTTGCTCGTTTCAATAAATTAAGTCTGTTCTGATTAAGCTAAAAATGCGTTACGTAATGAAACCAGTGCGGTAATGAACTTCATTACGTAACTCAAATCACCTCAAATGAGTGCGGTAATGATGACTTATCCAAGCAGTCGTAGATAAGATACAATTACATGTCTCCCAAAATAGTTGACATTTTCAATAAAACGTTAACCGACTGTAATTGAAGATATTTACCGAACATAGCGCTGGTAGGCAAACATTTACAAAGGAATTAAAGCGACCCTTTGCCGCGGACAAACGTCCTAGCTATGGAATAAGGCACGTCTGTTTACCTTCGTTATTTAATTGAAAATTACATCCGTCGTTCCCATTTTCTCTGATAATAAAAAAAAAATAGAAATCGAACCACTATTCGTTATGAAGGAATTACATTTTCATCCCTCTTTCATTATATATTTTGTACGATCCGTGTTAGAACGTAATCCTACGGGATTAATAACGTGGAGGCTGACATCTACGTTTATTCGCAAAGAATACTAAAACACGTTCGCTTCGAGTTCGTCGTAGGAGAGAAGGTGTCAACGAGCACTTGTGACGTCGAGTTAATTGTGTTGCGGTTTCGCTTGGTATGTCTCTTCGACCCTACGAAATTGACTTAACACCCCGTACATAATAAGCGGGTGAACCCACTGCCACCGGAATTCTATTACTTCGTGACGTCGTTACGTGATGTTTTTGAATAGTAATGTCCCGACCACGGCACGGAATATTCGATCAGAATAAAGTTCGTCGAATTTAAGCTTAAATAAGATTTTCCGAACAAAGAGAAGTCGAGCGGATGTTCTGTGATTTTCATTTTATCGTAGAACTGTAGTGTTATAACGAAATTACAATTCGAGACATTTCAAAATACGAATAATAGACTTAGACGACCCTAATATACAAAATAAACTCCATATTCATGAATAATTAGAATATAATTAGAACCAACTATCTGTAAACGTGCATTATCTCGGACCAAAGAACAATTATTTTACAAAGTAAACCATAATGTAGTAGTGGTAATTAAACAGTATTAAAATATGTTTAATAGCAATTAACAGTAACAATCTTCAAGATCTTTCATTTTTGTTGTTGTAAAAAAGCAGTTAATACAATTTTAAGTCAATTAGAACAAATTCTGAATGTAGTAATACATTACTTTGATTTAGCTTCCGCTAGATTTCGACATTTGGCTTCCTGTGAAAGTCACAGTCTAGATACTTATCTAGATTATCTCTTTTTATGACTTTTTCGTGAGCAGATGTATGAGATGGTATCTAGTGTACTTTTGAACCGTGTCCTATTGCATGTATTAGACCTTCTGTTTATTGAAGTTTTTTCTTCTCTCTGACTTTTCGACCTCATCGCAGTTCGCCTCACCACCAGCAGGTTCGGAGGAGTCGTTGCTGATAAAGCCGACACGGTCCTCCGCCGATACGGTGGTTAACCGTCTGAAGCAACTTCATATATTTCAAATACCTAGAGCGGTGTCCTAGATTTTGTACAGGGTGGTTCAAATTCTATGTTCGCATAGGCTATCTCGGAAACTATAAGAATAGAAAAATAAAGATAAAATAAAAATTATTTTTATTTATAAATAAATAATTATAAAAATAGTCATGAACTTCATCACGTTAATGTTAAACCATCGAAATACTCTAAAATACGAAGCAGATCAGAACACTCAAGAGGATCAGCGTTCGTGTACACATTAATATTGGTGTGGGTTCTAGAATATAACTTTCGTAGCCGTAATAGATTAGGTTTAAACAATACAACTCATTGATCTAAGTCAAGAGGAGATTGCAATCTCCTTAAACACAAAAAAATGCATCCGTTCCAATCGACATGAACTTACAGAAAGAACAAATTTATGTCCACTTGCACAAAAAAAAAGTTATTTGCTTATTTTTTCTTGCTTATTTTTTCATTTTTTCTTTCTTTCGCACTTTATTTACGCCTATCTTTGATTTTTCTATTATGTCTCTGTATTTTTGTTTTCTTAACGTAAATAAAGGTATATTATTATTATTATTATTATTATTATAACCATCTACAGCCCCGAGATGATCCCTTTTTATTGGATTAACTCATTTTACTGGTATTTTCCGACGGAAAATCCGAACGAAGTATTATATGGTATTCAAATATCTCAATGAACAAATTTATGCTAATTTATTAAAATTTATTACAATTCGGAAAGTTAAAAGAACTCAAAAAAGATATACAATTGTGAAATGATTGAAATGAGTATTTGCTGATGATAAATTGATAAAGTTTATAAACAAAAATTTGGTTGCTTACAATATAAAGTTATGCATATATCAGTATAAAAATTTGCTTTTCAAATTCAGGTGGAAGTTTGAAACTTTGTTTTATAGTTCTTGGTAAAAATCGTTTATTATTCTTATTTGTTTATCCAACAATTTATTCTTATTAAAAATTTACACAGATAATTTTTAATGTCATTAAAATAATTAATCCTCAATTTTAAATCTTATTATTTTGTTTCTCCGGTAAACGTCTTTATCGAAGCTTTAGTTATAAAGTATCTTTACGCGGTGAACATTTAAAGGTATCTTCAAAGTAGACAAGTTGTTCTTGTGGGCAAAGAAAATTTAAGTCACCCAGTTTTCCCACGGAGATATCCAGAGCAGTTCTATTCGTCGTTACTGCCGCAAACAAAACGGTACTTGGAAAAGTTTCCTTCCAGCGACAGTTCGCTTCCTTTAAAAGTAACGCGTACACACGATAAGACCGTTCCCTTCCACGATTTATATCCTCTCGGCTCTATGCAAAGATTTTCAAACTTCGCTTCATTAAATTTTCCTCCTACTGCGCAGGGACAAATTATGGAAGTTCGGTAACTCTTCCCTAAATCTAAACATCAAATAACTCGTTAAAACGCAAAGCTAAAATCTTTATTTTCAAAGTTATATATATTAATTAATTCGATTTGAATCTCAACAACTTGTTTATGGTTATTGCTTATTGTATTTAGGTTGGCGTTTCTAGTCCATCCCGTCCATATTTCGTATGAAATAATAGACCAACCGAGTCTCAATAGACCTCGTAAAGTCCATTCGTCCGTCCAAAGTTGTATGAAACCCCCCGGAGAGTTTGTATACCAACCCTTAGGAGTTTCTGAATTAGAGATGCTCACGATGTAGATGTTTTGTACTCCTCATTACTAATTTTCACCCTTGTTAATTCAATAAAATGAATTATTTTTGTTAAATAATAAATTAATTTATTTTTAGGTGTGGACAAGAAACTCGTGTAATTCCGCGAGTATTACAAATGCGTTTTCATTGGTTAAAATCAGAAAAAGAATCAGTAAGACTTGACCAAGCTGGAATATCAAAATCAGTTCTCGATTCAGCGATAGCGGCGTTCGTCTTGGAAATAATCGCTCGTCACGGCGAACCAGCTCCGAGACTTTGCAACAAAGATCCACTCACGATTAAAATGGGAACGTACATCATCGACTTGTTTCCGAACGCAAAATTCGTATTCATGGTACGAGATGGTCGAGCGACCGTTCATTCGATTATTTCGCGAAAGGTCACCATCACCGGTTTCGATTTATCAAGTTATCGTCAGTGTATGAAAAAATGGAACGCTGCCGTTGAATCGATGAATGATCAGTGTAAAGAGTTAGGCCCCGAAAAATGTTTAAGAGTACCTTATGAACAACTTGTTTTGCATCCGAGGAAATGGATGGAAAAGGTACTTGAATTTCTTGATATTCCATGGAATGATGCTGTTTTACATCACCAAGATTTTATTAATAATGGAATCGAATTAAGCAAGTTAGTATTTTTCTTTTTTTAATTCTGATTGATTTTAATCCATTTCTAATTTATTGCAGAGTTGAAAGATCATCAGATCAAGTCATAAAACCAGTAAACTTAGAAGCTTTATCAAAATGGGTTGGGAACTTCCCGGAAGATGTCGTTCGAGACATGCCAGATTTAGCTCCAATGCTTTCAGTTTTAGGATACGATCCATACGCAAATCCACCGGTTTATGGAAAACCGGATGCTGTTGTGGCCGATAATACAAAACACGTGCAAAAAGAAAAGGACGTTTGGGAGAAAAGGGCAAAAGAAATGTTTGATATGAAATGGGAGAGCCAAGGAGGTGCTGGTGACAGCAACGATAATAATCAAGTGACGTGACGATTTGAGACTTAAATAAATAAAAAACGGGCCAAATTTCAATGACTGTTGAAAGTTGCGTTTTAAAAGTCTAATTTAATTCGGTTTGACTGTTAAAGACGAAAAGGCAACTTAGTAGTAGATAACGAGTGTGTCATATTTAAGTGGAGTTAAACTCCAAGAAAACCAACCCTGTTTCCCCTTTTCCTTGTCGTAAGAAAACAATTTTTCAAGACGCGAATCACGTTAATTTAAGTTTTTATTTGTATAGTGAAAATAAGGACGTGTGTTGAATTTAAATGATCTTTTTTGTGTATATGATGGTTGTTTTTAATCGTGATATAAATGTACCTATCGTACCCATTGGAAATAAATTTAATTTTCGTTGTTATTCATGGATTTTTAAATTTACCACCATAAACTTCTTTACAACTTCCATCATCAAATAAATACCCTTCTATTAAAAGTATTGGTTGCTGCCACCACCTCTGAGTATTAAAAAATAATACTGTAATAGGAAAAACTGGATATGAAGAGTTTAAGCCAAAAGTTATTTAAAACAGAACTTGAGAATAGCTTTTAGCAATTACAGTTGATGTTTGTAGCAATAATTTCTCACCATCCCTAAGGTCAATCTATATTTGGGATACATCTGAGGAAATCCGAAAGCGAGACTGTGCTCGAGCGCCTGTCTTGCCTTGATCTTCGTCTTTCTTTAGCGGCGTACATTGACCGTCCACTTTAATGCGAAAGCGACCTCGAATAAGAGTATGTACACTTAGAATGGATATAGAAGAAGTAAACATATGAAGCACCTCTATTTTTCGGACACTATTTCGGACGAGTCATACCGGAAGCGATTACCAATACATTAGCTTAAGTCTGAATGACCCCTGACACATACAACAATCAGACGGCTCGTTAGAATGTTATTAAAAAAGAAACGCAGTTTAAAGGAGTCAAGTGCGATCTTTGTAAAAGAGGCCCTGATGGACTAAACTATGGTATAATAAATAAATCGTAATAAATTTAAATTTAGTCTGAAACTTCCGGGTAAAATAATTTCGTATAATCGTCACAAGGTGTCGCTATTAAAGCTATCAACTGAAGATAAAACAAATAAAAAAATCATTTAATAAAAAATAAGTTTGAAATTATAATAATTTTAATTAATTATTTAAATAACAATTTTTCAATTACTGGATATTGTTTAAATATTACTTCACTATTATAGATATCTACTTTATCGACATTATTGACATGCGTTTTACTTTTAAAAAAGTAAGGTTAGAAAATTGTGACAAATTCTCCCGCTAAGCTTTATATTGCACTTCAGTAAGATATTATTTTTGTATGGTTACGATAGTAACTGGAAAGATTTAAACTAATTTTAACAAGGATAAGTTTCTATTAATAATCATGTATTAATTACAATATAACCTATACAAATCATCACACCCCTATAGGTACTAATGCTTCACTTTTAACTTTGTTTTTTAGTACAAGAATAGGCACAATGCCAAATAATAAAAGAAAAAGTTCAGAAGAGCCCAGTAGTTCACGCCAGGTCAAAAGAAGAAAGTGTAAATTAAAATCAATTCTTTATTTGTGGTTTAATTTTAATGTTGTATTAATTAACAGTTACCCTAAATGAAGTTCCAATTGCAAAAGATTATAAAGAGGGTTTAGTTCTCGCTACCGGAGCCGGCGATGTTGGACAATTAGGATTAGGTAGTGAAGTATTGGAAAAGACTAGATTTGGTTTAGTTAATATTGATTATAAAATAATTGATGTGTATGCGGGTGGAATGCACACTGTGTGTTTAACACAAAATGGACAAGTAAAAAAATTCTATCATTTAAAACTATTTTTTTTATGATCATATATTTTTAGGTCATTACATTTGGTTGTAATGATGAAGGAGCACTGGGAAGATCAACAACTACAACTAACTCGGAATTTGAACCAGGTCTTGTGGATCTACCAGGAAAAGTTAAACAAATCACCGCTGGTGATTCACACACTGCTGCTTTATTAGAAGATGGGAAAGCTTATGTTTGGGGAACATTTCGGGTAAATTTAATAAATATAAAAAAAATTGATTATAAAAATATCTTTATTTTCGGTTGTATTGTAGGATTCACATGGTAGCATGGGTTTAACACCATCAGGAAGTGAAAAATTACCATACTTAATGATGCCAGATCATGTAATAATTAAAATTGCTTCTGGCGCAGATCACGTCGTATTTTTAACAAATCATGGTGAAGTCTTTACTTGTGGTTGTGCAGAACAAGGGCAATTGGGTAGAATACCAGCTAGGAGTTCTGAAAGAGACTCTAGAAATAGTAATACAGATCAATTAGGTAATACAGATACCTAATGTGCTTAGTTTAATTCTTTTATTATTTATATTATAAAATAAAAATTTTTTCAGCAAAATTTCTAGTACCTCGTGCCATAAGCATAAAACCTTCTTTAAAATTACATTTTGAAGATATTTGGGCTGGACATTATGCAACTTTTGCAAAAGTTGCAGGTAAAAATGACGTTTACGTATTTGGATTAAATAATTATAACCAAATTGGTACATTTGCATTTTTGTTTCTTTAAACACCCCTATTCATGTTTTCATTTTTTAGGTGCAAAAGAAACTGTAGAATATTACCCAACAGTATCGAATGTATTCTCCAAACATAATTGGCAATCAATTTGTTGCGGACAACATCACACTTTAGGGTTAGATGTGGAAGGAAACGTTTTTACGATTGGAAGAAAAGAATATGGTAGATTGGGTTTAGGAGAAGATTGCAAGGAGTCGGATGATTTAGTTAAAATTCCTTTATTGGAAGATAATAAGGTGATTTATATTGGAAATGGATCTGCAACATCTTTTGCAGTTACAGAAGAAGGTAAGTAAAATTAAAAATAGTAATAAATTGAGTTGTAAATTTTCTTTTTTTATTAGGAAAATTGTATGGTTGGGGTATGGGAAATAATGGACAATTAGGAACTGGTGGAGAAGATGATTGTTATGTACCAACATTAATTCGAGGTAACCAATTGGAAGGTTTAAAAGTGTACAAGGTCAGTGGTGGAGGACAACATACTGTAATATTAGCCTTATCTAATATAAACAATAACAAAACAGAATGATGTATTATTAATTTAGTAAGTATACCGGGTGTTACATTAAAAGCACTCCACACATGGGTTGTGTGCCATACTGGATTAAAATGTTTGGGGAATTCTTTGTGGGATACATATATATTTATATTATATACTTATGTATTTATTGCAATGTGTTCTATTAATTTGTAATCATTAATCATAGTATAAGTAACCGGTATTAATTAATTTAAAATAAGATCTGTTTGTAGTAATCAAAAATATATGCATGTATCTATTAATTTTTTTTCATATAATTTCAAACCGAGTGCCTTTAAGATATTACTGAAAATCATAATGGTTTGTTTATTTTGTTTCATAATAAATATTTTTTTAAAATAGATTGTTCTATTTACTTTATCCCATTGATGAAGAAACTTAAAAAGATATTCTAGAACTAACACTAGTACTGTTATTAGAATTGACCTAGACCTTCTGGTGTGATAAACACAACGCCAACTCTAGCAGTGGATGCTTTGCTTGGCCTATTTTTTTTGCATTTGCATATAGAGATAGTGGCTAGAACTACCATTTACAGGTTTAAGCAATATGCTTAAAACTGTTCCAACATGTCCTACTAATGGGCTATGGAAGACACTAAGCACTGATATTGTGCTATCAATGCCGTCAGATTTGACGGGATCACTACCAGTGATTAATGCTCGATACCAGATTGTACTGCCCAGTGGCGGCGCTACGTACAGGCGAAGCAGGCAACCGCCTATAGCGGCCAAAATTAGGGGCGGCCAAAATCACGTTCTTCTCAGACATAAAAAACTGATATTAATCACGACTATCAGAAGTTACACTAACTGTATTAAATTTGCCATTTAGAGGAAAATCTGATGTACTCTTTGACAAAAATAACGGAGTGTTTTCGAAATATGGAATGTTCATTATCTTAGTAAAAACATACAAAATTAATTAGTAGGTTTATTGGCACAAATGACTAAAAAAAAATTATAGGAATGGCAAAAAAGCCGATTTTTTTTTGTAATCATGGAAACAAGTCCCGATATCAGCCACAAAGAACTACTTACATTAATAATTCGATTTGTTAACACCGAATCAATGAATACGTATTTGGTGGAAGAAAATGTTCTTCCAATTGATTTTATTGAAGTAACTGATACTACAGGAGTCGATCAGTCAATAGAGAAACGTTTTCAACATACATTCGAATTTTTGCACAATCTTGCCAACCTAAGAAATTGAGAAAAAGATCGTCATAAAGCAAAGTATGAATTTGGAAATTACCCTTACACATAACAATAGAAAAGACATCGACACCATTCAACTGGCGGAAGAGTTGAGTTTTATTTGAAAACTTTTAAACCCAGGTGATACCCTATGAAGTTTTAAAATATATTTTAAACAACATTTGTTTAATAAATAAATATAAATAAATCAAAGTGCTTTTTTGAAAGGACACTTTTTTTGCATTTTTATTTAGGCAAGGGCAGCCATTTTCGCTTGTAGAGGCCAAATCTCTATCGCTGCCCCCGCTACTGCTTGAACGGCGGTCCTGGATCGAAAATTCTCTGGTTCAGGCAGATATTTCCATGTTCACAGATAGATCAAAAATGCTGGAAGGGGTCGGGGCAGGAGTATACTGCCCGAGACTTCGGATTAAGCAAGCTTACAGCCTGGGTACGTACTATATTCCAGGCGGAAGTATTTGCTGTTGACATGCTGCTAAAATACTTCTTGAGAGAGGCATGAAGAACATGACAGTAGGATTTTTCTCCAGTCGCTGCAAGCTGTGAAAACGGTGTCGGCTCTGGTTAATGACTAAAAAAACTTTAAACACACTGAGTTGTGATAACAGAGTTTCTCTGATCTTGGTCTCAGGTCACTCTGGGGTTGCTGGAAATGAAGTGGCAGATGAGCTAGCACGAGAGGGTAGAGCTAAAGCATTTGTGGGTCCAGAGCCAGCAGTTGATATATCATTTGGGATGGCCAAACATAGAATTTATTCAATTCTTCTTGTGCTAAGTCCCTCAATTCTCGTTTCTGATACGTTATAGAGTCATATTCCTGTGGTGTGCTTAATACCAGTATTATGAGTGGAATTTAAAACATTTTCTGTGGTGGCTGAATGGTAAGCGATTATCAGGAAATGTTTGATTTTCGTTATATAGTTGAGTTCCTTGAAAAGCTGTAATTGTTATTATTTTTCGTTTTTAAGTGGATTTCAATGGAAAGCTGAAAACGAAATGTTATAATTGTTAAAGGTAACAAAACTAGTAGGATTAACAGTGCTAAATTGCAGCAAAAAATCAAGGAGATATTTGGTGCACTTAGAATCTATTACAACCATAGGAAGTCATAAGCTCATATCAGAGAATACAACGAAGGTAAAAACATGGGCATTGCTTCAGAGTAACCAGAAAAACTAGATAAAACAGAAGCCAACAAAAGCAGCAAGTCTAGTGCTAGAGTTAATTTTAGTTGTTATTCATCGTTAGATTCTTGTATTTTTGTATTGAACTAAAACTAGAATTAACTCTAGACTTAGAACTAGAATATTCGTGTCTGAAGACGGATATTTTGAAAAATTTGTTTTTTTTTTTTCAAAAAATATTAATTTATTTGCAAAAAAAATCCAACAACAATCACAATGAGTTAATAATAATTTAATAAGTGAGAAAATATTTGGCAAGTCTTGGATAGAATTCATCAAATTCAAATTCAGGTTCATCCTCTTCACTTTCACTACTCGAAGCCATCATTTCAATTTCATCACTATCCATACTTGAATCCCAATCGTTACCACTTGAATCCGATTCATTTGAACTCTGATGTTCTTCCGGTTGTTCATAAATTAATTGGGGATAAATTACATTAGAAAACTAAAACAAAATTTTGTATTATTAACATTTAAAAGACATAAAGAATTAAGTTTACTCTTATATTTTGAACTGGAGGTATTTTTTCAATGGGATTTTCAGCTAAGTATATTTTAAGTATATGTTTCATGTTTTCTAAAAGTTCCTCATCGAACTCAGTTATACGATTACTTTCCATATACAAAAATCGAAGTTCTTTCATTTTTATAAACACTTCAGGGATTGATTTAAACAAGTTTTTGTTTAAATTTAAATGTATTAATGCGCGGAGTTTATCAAATTCTTCTGGAAGAAAAGAAAGATTATTTCCTTCTAAAGTTAACCACCTAAAATTATCATAAAATATATTGATTGTGTAAAAAAAATTATAAATTATTTACCTTAAATTATGAAGTTTAATAATCGAATTAGGTAATTGGGTAATTTGATTATTTCTAGCGCCAAAACTATCTAATAATTCACACATACTAATTTCTTCAGGTAAATTTTTTAATTTACAATTATTCACCCATAAAGTAGTTAAATTTTTTAATTCTCTAATATCACTACTGATCTCTTTTAAAGGATTATTACATAAATTTAACGCTTTTAATTGGGACAACTGTTTTAACCCAACAGGGAATTCATCAAAATCGTTATTATCCAAACAAATCAACCACAATTTCTTTAAATCACCAATACTATCAGGAATCGTTTTTAGCTTATTCATTTGTAAAAGTAACATTTCCGCATCTAAACATTTAAACAGCTCTTTTGGTAGCTCATACAAATTGCTATCCCTTAATCCAATACGTTTACTTTTAGATTGTATAGCTTTCTCTATGACAAACATCACTTGGAGATGTTGAACGTAATCATATATGGGGTTCATCACTTAAAAAATACTAATTTTATGCGTTAATCGAGCACATTTAAGTAACCATTAATGATTTTTATTTATATTTTTAATAAAATTATATTTTTATAGATTTTTACATTGAATTTGACATTTCAAGTGTCAATAAACACAAATTATCAGCTGATTAAAATTTTTTTTTATGTGAAATTTTATGTATAAATGTAATTAGCTCTGTTTTATTTATATGTTTTTGATTTTTTTTTGTTAATTTATAGTTATTAAAAAATCTTTTAAAATGATATTGTAGAAGGAAGTAATAAAAAAAATTATAAAGATTTCTGTATAAAAGGTGTAATATTGGTTGCATACACTTAGGTTTTCGTATTGAACCATATTAGAATTGTTTATAAAATTAAAATTATATAAAAATGAATGTTTGTGTGTATGTCCTTTATAGAATCCTAAAGTATGCATTTGATCATGTGATAATCTTTAGCAAAGTTGTTGTGCATGAGCCCACGAAGGTTTCTATGTCACAATTTTTTCAAAATGAACAAAATAAACAAAATTACTCAAAATGAATAAAATATTTGCGTAATGTCTTTCCTTCAAATTTATTTTAGTTGCTGGCGTAGCAACGCGCGCAGGGTACAGCTAGTAGGATATAGATAAGGACACGTAAAGTTTAAAGTTTGCAAAAACGCATTTTGTGCATTTCATGGAATATCCAGAAAGAAAGTGAATGAAAATTCTAGCTTTTCATATTGGAATAACTAAGTCACTATCTGCACCAATATTCATTGATTATTATACACCATATATCTACGTCTAATAAGGAAAAAGAGAAATTTGCTATATTAAAACTTAGAGTAATATTTTACAGCATTGAACTAAAAGGAATCCATGTTCAATATTTAGCAGATATTTGGTGATTCTTAAGGATTTCCAAATATGCCTTCATCTTCAGATAGGTTTTTATTTACCTCTTTTGTATATTACTTTTAAGCCAATTTAAAATGTAACTTTTCATCTACAACTTTCTAACAATAGAAGTCAAATTTTTCATATTACCCGAAAGAAACTTTTCCTTATTCCTTGTAACTATTTCAATAAACGCGAGTTTCTATTTTGTACCTCGCAAAACTTTTAAAATTCCTCCTCTTTGCCCGACTAACAATAAGACGCAGTCAGTTGCAAGATCCCGTTTACGTTCTGAAGCCCAGTTTTCATGTAATCTTCCCCACCAACGAGTCTTTTACTTTATTTTGTACGTGTTTCCCGGCGAACTCTTGATTTTCTTACCACTCGAAGGGGGAAATGACACACGGCGTCGAAGGGAAACGACGGGAACCTTTAATAATTAATATAACTCCCTCCCTTCATCTTCCCGGTCTGATTCGGGGAATTGTACGATTCCTTCCCCATTTCAATCCAATTTTGTTATCTTGTTCTTCTTCGGGGTCAATTGACGACAACCTTTTCATCTTTATAATGTCGGAAACGTCTAATAATTTATCACATCATGCTTTAAAAAAAAAAAATATATTTTTCTGGATTAATTAACGTGTAAGCTTTGAGTTTAATTTTATTAACTTGTAATATTTGAATATAACGATAGTACCATGTACTGCATGTGTATAATATGATCTTAATGAAGGGTGATAATGTACTCAACGGGTCGGGACGGTGATTAAGTTCCACGTAATTAACACGTGTCCTTCAGGTCGTGTACATCTCCAAGAGATGTTAGGGATATACGTGTAATAATTATATGTAAACGTGTACCAAGTCTGCTAACTATTAATTAGGTTCTCATTAAATCAATTCGCGGTAAGATCAAAGGGGTCATTCATAAATAATTTGTGTCATAGTTAAATCATATAAAATAAATATTATTTTGTTTTTAAGAAATAAATAATTCATATTCCCTTGTGTAAAGTGAGTAACAAGAAAAGAGGTGACAACAACACAAAGTTGCCGAACCCCATCGTTGTAGGGTCAAAGACCTGTGTGAACATTGCGTTTTCTTTCATACACCGATGAGATCGGGCGATTGTTAAAACGGGTCAGCAGCCGTGCCGTAACCCACTCCCCACGGAGAAGATGTCACCGAGTTATTCCCGCTGACGTAACACAAACCTATTAACACGTATCCGTCGTAAAAAAAGCGGCTTCTTTCATCTCGCCCTTTTTCTTAGGGAACGTCGAAGGATATATTTTCTTTTATTAGCTTCTCTATCAACAACCATGTCGAATTTGTCACTAAGAATATAAATAGAATAACAACAATATTTTTATTTCAAAAACTAACATGTAGAACTTAATTAATGAGAGATTTTCTATAACAGTAACTTCATTTTTGATTCCGAAATTTTTATAATTCGAGAACCTCCACAACGTTCGTTAAATGCAGTCAGTGTAGTAGATTATGGTCTGAGTAAGTTTTGAAAAATCTCGACTATATAATTACTTTGAACATGCCCCAAAAGCTCCCTCTATGTGTTTATAATTTTTTACTGTTTGCAATTAATCCAAATACTTTTCCATTAATTTAAATGTCTTCCAATTTCATTCAGTGGCTGTTTTATTATCATTATTATCATTTAAATAACTTCTTAAACAGCTTCCAATTTACTTGAGCTTCTAATGGAGTCCAATAAGGGACGCGCCATTGATGTGCGCAAGGTACACAATGCATTTATAAGGCATTTATAAGCAAACCAATAATGACATAGAAACCAAAAATGTTATGCCATCTTATGCCGATGTTAACACAATGTCGAAACCTTTTTGGAAAGTTGTCCATAGTTTTTTATGTAATATCCGGTGGAATGACAGATTTTTCTTGGGCGATTACCTCGTTAAGTGCATGTAGAGTTATGGGACGATGGCCGATGAATTGCGCCTTTAATTATTCTTATAGAAAAGAAATTATAAGATCGGGTGACTCCAGGAATCTCTTTAAAATTGCTTCAGAACTTTGCAAAGTGTGAGTTATCGCTCTATATTATTGGAACCAGACTTTTCTTTCTTTATGGTCTCATATCACCATATACATCAAATCTAGAAATGGTACTTGAAGGTAAAGGAAACTAAAACAAAATCATGTGTAATGTTCTGAAGAATATTTTCTTCAAAACAATCTTCTTTCTTAATTCGCGGGTATTCATCATTTTGGAAGGATGCATGTGCAGATGTTTATGCAGGATTCTTTTTACATTCTTATCAGACAATCCCAGAACAATTTTAAGTTTAAGTGGTGAATACTTTGGATGGAACATTTTTGGACCAGCGATGTTGCTTTTAGTTGTGCTTTTAGAGCACAACTTATTGCTTTAACGTTTGATACCTGAACTTGAATAACTTATCTATTTGGAACAGAATCATATCAGAAATGTCCGAACAGTATGCGAAATACACCAAATACCCCACCAATTACTGTGGTCTTTTTGCAGGACCTTGTATTATCAGAAATGTATCTACTTAACGAGTACTAAATGTCATTTCACTTAGGTTACGATCAATTTTCCATTTTCTTTATTAACGTCAGAATACATATATTCAGAATAGATGTTATTCGTAACTGGAGTCGTATTGGTCTGTTAAGATGTGCCAATTTATTTTTTTTCCCATCTACAAAAACGAGGATATAAAATCGCCAGTTAGGAATTAAAGAAATATCAGTATTGTCCTCAATCAAGTACTTTCTGTGATGAAGTGGTACAATTATTTCTCTCAGTTGTTCCTTTGTTTTGTTGACAGGTTCACATCTTGGAAATATTCTTGAACCTACCGTACCAGTTTCCTTCGTTATTGTGTTATATTGTTGCTTGTTACATTTCACTTCTATGAGGTTGTATTTGTTTGTTGTATTTGTCCCACTTGGGTTCAGACATATTTCTATACCATACGCCAGTTTTTAGCCTCTTGTAACGTTTTTATGTCCAGAAACTTCCTTTGAGGTCACCCAACCCAACATTAGACACTAGACTTGCATGTTATGAAAAATATATTCCATCATAAAGCCAGTCTTTACTTTTTTTGCAGAATACGGTTGGAAAATGACATACTTGAAAATCTGCATAAATTCTGTGGAAACCTTTTATAAAAAATTATCACCACTTGCGTGGTTTGCTTTCATTTCTCTGCAACTCATTTTAAAGATTCTATTTGGCGAGTCTTGGATCGCTTAACTTTTATTTTGGATAACCGCACGATATCGAGATGAATTCTGAACTATAAATACGTCTAGTTGATGATGGCGACTTCTTGCTACGAATCTAACGATTTGAATGAATCTTTCGATTCGCGGCAATTCGTAGCAATTCATAGAAACTTTTAATTTCCTTCCCATCTTTTATTCTTTCTTCTCTATTTTAGTACGAAGGCTTTCACGCCCGGTGTTAATTGAACTGAAATTAGAACTCACACTAACTAGAAACAGATTCCGTGCGTCTTTGAAAAAGTGTTTGATGTTTCGGATGCCATGTTGCAACCTTCTTCAGAATCAAGTTCAAAGTGTTTTCATTTATTCAGAATTTTATCAATGATTTAACTTTTTTAATTCATTATATTTGTGGAGCAGGTAGTAGAAGAGTTTCCAATAGGTTCCATAGATCTTAAATTGCTTCTAATTGTTTCCGATTACAGCGAAGAATTCTCACACTAACTCCAAATAACTTTTGCCTTTTTTGAAGTGGTTCCAATAATTCAAATTACTACGAAAGGTTTTTCTAACTGTTTCAAAAGATATTTGTTATAAACTTAACACGTTGATTTTAAAACGTAAAATTTTTAAGAATATGTTAGAAAATTGCATTTAAACTGTTTCGATTCACTTAATAATTGCGACAATCGTATCTTGTTCGGTTCAACTGTACCCCCTGTATGTATTCAGTATTACGGGGGTGGGATTCATTTCTCCCCAGCACACGGTTTTATCTGGTTGGGGTTGTTGTGGAGGGTGGCACCCACAGTTAGATTGCCGTGGGGAGCTAGAAACGAATAGAAGTAGAACCGGGTCGAAACAGTTATCTTTGTTTCCAAGGCTTACCAAGCAATATGTTCGTCCTTATCGGTTTTATACCAACTATCGTTATAACTTATTTTTTTTTTAAATAACGTAGTATTGTCAACGAAAATATTTGATAAGCACGCGATTCATATTGTATTTCTAGATTTTCTATTAAAAATAGATATTGTATAAATTGAATAGAGAAGGTATTAAATTGAAAACGGAATTAATAAGAGTCTTTATGGTTTATGATCACGAAATGTTTATTATTGTTGAGTTGAGTTACTTTGTTCTGCTTGATTAATCTTCACAGATGTTTGTTTATTGTATTATTTCTTATTTGACCTAGTAAGTTTCCCTCGGTTTTAATTGATAGAAAGCGTGTTAGTTTGGTTTATGTTAACAAAGGATTTGAAATTAACTCATACATAGTTTTGTTAAAATTCTTTATACTACAAAAGTGAATCATTTTATTTAATAACGTTGATTCATTTTTTGTGGTTGTATAATTCTTAAATATGTCATTTTATAATTCGAAATATTTAATTTTCGATAAATCCGTTCTTCTATTTATTGATAAGAAATTCATGAAATATTAATTATTAATAACAAACATTTCTAAATAATGATTACAAAGCATTCCATTCCGGATTTCATCTTCAACTTTGCATCATAAAAATGCAATCATAGTGATTCACGCAAACATATTTTCACGTTTCCGGTGGACAATGTGGTTTGAATCCAGTCCAGTGTGAAAATTCCAGTTGTAAGAATGTGACATATTTTCCCGAACTTCGTTTTCGGTGTATCTATTTTATTCTTTTTCTTTTGAAGGCAAACTTTCCACGTTTTTTTTTCTCCTTTACAAAGCTCGGTGGTCTTCGTTTTCTCTAGGCGTCCCGACGCCGGCGTCGACATCAACGGACGTTAAGCGCATGCGTTCTCATTCAGTCAATGGTCGTCTCGTACGTTTAGTTTAAACTTAGACGTCGTCATCGACGAAGCTTCCGGGTTTTATTAAAAAAATCGAAATAGTTTCAGCGAGTTTTATGTTTTAATTATTTTTGTTTTTATTATTTTTATAACAAAATAAAGTTAGTGTTTAAAAAGACGGAGTGTAAAGAATTTTTTTAAATTAACTAAAACTATTATTTTGGTGTTATCAATAAAATAAATTGGACCAAAATTAAATCTTAAAAAAAGCGTAATCATTTTTATAAAAACTATCACAAACTTTTTAAAATTTTGTATTTTATGATATAAGTGTTACGCTTCTTGATACTATTTTTTTAACCGCAAAACGAACCCCTTTTTGCTGATTTGGGGTGTGTCTGAGGCCCGCCAACGTAATGAACTAACGCAAATAAAATCTCTAGGTAAGTCGATTAAATCTCGAAATTACTTTCTTACAGTATATGTTGATGTAATTTTTTGTTTGATTTTTACGCGGAAACTTTCAACACAAGATTGTCTCCCGGGAATTACCCGAAGTTGTGCTTTACGAAGGACGCTCAAGTCGAGTGTCTAGTTCCTGCACGTTGTAGATGGAACGTATTAAAGCCGGGTAGTTAAGGACTCTTCGGCTCATAAACGCAACATTTCAATATCCCAAGTATCACTCAACTTTTTTAATAATCTTCAGGACGCTGGTTTACAAACGTTTATTAAATTTATGATTTGTATGAAGATTAACCTCGTTTAATATGATATTTAATAATACTTTCTGATTTTTTTGATTATTAATCAAATTGAAACATTTCCTGGGGCTGCTTAGGCATTTTTGTGATTACCGGAAAATAATTTTGTATATAGCTTATGCTTAGTAAGAATATGAACCTTATTGCCAATAAAATATCGTGCTTCTCTACGGTGTTTACATTCTCGCAAATTAGTTCTGTATAATCCATAATAGAGATATTAAACGGATATTAAAGAGGTTCTGATTGTGTTGGTTTAAATATAAAAATGTTAAACAATTTTAAGTATCTGCTTTTAACTGAATTTGATCATAGATTTCAGAAAATTGATTTCAATTCCCGTCGTTGTCTACACCAAATACTACTTTTAACTTACTTTTGAGTACAGAAACACTTATTTGCCAATTTTCAATAATATCCAAGTTTCTTCTATGAAAACGTCAATATGACCGAGATATCGACCAAGACGGCAGTGAACGTGTTAATGATACTCGGAAAAGAAAAGCATGGATTCGAAGAGAACTCATTCTCGCTCCATTTTTATATCGACAACTTACGGAAGACTAGATTAGACTTTTTGTATGTGTGTGGGCTGCCAGACCTGAGATGTAACCTGAGATTTGCCAACTTTATCTCCAATTTCTTTTCCTTTTTTAATGGAGGACTCTCTGTTTCATTAGTTACAGCTTATACGTATACAAAAGCAATTGTCTTTGGTGTAAGACATACTATGGGGAGATGGCCAAATATGAGCCAGCAGAAAACAAATTGAATGTACTAAAAATCGAACTGCACAACGCTGCCTAACCATCAGCTGAATACAGAATACAATTTTGACTTTGTTTTAGAAGGAAATTATTATATTAAATTTATATTACTCTCGCCAGATAATTCGAGTAAGCCTTTTAGTATACTAGAATCAGAAAATGCGGAACTGCATTAGGTATATTGAACAGGATTTCTAGTACACTCCATGCTAGATTTCAAACCTAGATTTATTGTCGGAGTGGAGAGTGAATCTTTGAAAGATGTTTGTTAAGAACTAGAAACTACGGCACCTTGGGACTACTCTAGACATTTCCAGTAGACCATCTCCTACACTCTGTGCCTATCATCAATATCCCCCTCTACTATAACGATTTGTGTAGTAGTAAAGTTAAATTATTGAATAGTAATAATATTTACATCTCCACATTTGCGTTCTGAAGTTTCAATCTCCATTCCGTTCTGTCACTTCGTGTTGTCCAGTTTCGTATACCAATTTTCTTGGTGTCTTCCGTCACACCATCTCTACAGAATAGATTAAGTAGTCTTCCTCTACTTGTAGTACATATAGGTTCTGCCGTAAATATCTTTTTTGCTAGGTCATCTTCGTCACTTCTTACCACATGACCTGCCCATCTCAATCTGCCCACCTTTATAGTTGTCACTATATACCTGTTTCCAGCTGACCCGTAGGCATTATGTAATTCAAAGTTACCTACTTCTACACACACCCTGTTCTCCTTTCTTTCGAATGTGGCTAGCATAGATTCATCTTTTTTTTGTCAGGGTTCATTCTTCGGAACCATGTATCAAAATTAGTATTATAAGGGTCGTATAAAAGGGTTCGTATAAATTTGGATCTTTGTGCTTCGGAAATGTTACGGTTCTGCAGGTACTGGGATAGGCCGAAATAATATTTATTCTCACTTGAGATGCGTATCTTAATTTCTGCGTCCATATTGTTATTTATTATACATAAAACATCATTGACTGATGTTTCTAAGTACTGAAATTCTGCGACAATCTCAAAGTACTGGTCATCAATTGTGATGTTTTGTCCAGCATCTCGCGGTCTTCTAGTAATAATAATAAACTTTGTCTTTACCTCATTGATAAGTAGGCCCATCCTTTCCGTTGAAGCTTCTAGAGTCAACACGGCTTCTTAATCTTTCCTTACTAATTTTGATATAATGTCCATTTTTCCAATAGTAGCCTTTTCCAATGCTATTACTCTGTCCACTTTTGGGCAATTACTGTATAGACGTCATTTTTAGTAGTAAATTTTGAATTTATTTTCTTAGGAACTAAAGATTGCAGCACCATGGGACTATTATAGTTAATTCGAGTGCGCATTTCCTGCCTATTTACAGCCCCAGATTTGTCGTAGAGACGAAGAGGTCAATTTTTAGATATAGGACGTATATTTAGTTGTAATCATCTCTCATCTCTATGCTATGATAAATCTGGGAAGTATCCATAGACAGTCAGTTATTAGAGGGTACACTCAAATTATATAGGGTAATTCTAGGTTGCTACACTTTTTGGAGATTTAGAAAATATATCTTCATTAATATGTTGAATATTTATTTGATTAACTTTAGCCATATTAGTTAAGTCAGCCTCTAACGTTTACATTTTATACTGAGACAGTGCTAGTAATTTGACAACGTGACCACTTTGTCCAAACCAATTAGGAGTGTGATTTTCTAATCTAGAAATGTGACATCTCCTAACAGTTCAGTAATTCCATTAAAGACCATTAATCTATGCGAGTTTTTAACAGAGATTTAACATTTATTACTTAAACAATTGTAGGAAAGATGCAAGTTGGAGATTTTTGTATATCTTTATTATTTTCTTGACTTCACTCTTTGCTCAAATTGGATTCATAATATCTTAATCCGACATCAAGAGTAGATAATTCATGTTGAGATCTCATACTGTTACAGAATACTTAATATACTTTGGTTTATCTTTCATTACAAGATTTTTATAATTACAATCTTTTCCATAACTTATTACTCCAGCTACTAATATTGATCAATCATAAGAATCACACGAAGATTTAATCCAGGGTATTTCTTTTTAATTTTAAATCCACATTTCACCTAACATCAGATAAACACCCGGAAATTGGTTAGACAGCAAAGATTGATAAAATCACAGTTTGAGTGACGCATGATCGATTAAACTGAAACAACAATTTATTTTCTCTACTACTACATATAACGACGCTTGACGATCTATAGTACATTAATTAAATTAAAAGACCATAGTAATAGTATAAAAAATTTCGAATTTAACTTTCCCATTTTTTAAAGCGAACGTTTTGAACAGTACAATTACTTCGCTATGAATACCAAAACGGTTCCTTTAGTCCTCACTTAATCTATTAAAGGTTGTTAACGTGTTTTCGAGTTGTCATCGCGTTATCATTGCCATTCTTTCTATCAGTGTGGACAGAACCGGTTGAGGTTTTTCGTTTTATACCATGAACAATAATGGTAAGTTTAAAAATATATTTCTTTGTCATGTTTTTTGTATTAAAACGGTGACCTACTTAACAAAACACAAAAATACCTTTAAATTTTTTGTTGATTGATCCATCGTTAAAATAAGAAATTCGGGTTTTCAAATTCACGTTGTAAAATGTCTGTTTCCGGGTTTAGGATGGCCGGAAACTGGTAGGTTAATATTATATGACCCGGTTCGGAGGGAAAACCGCTCGCCTGGCGTCCAAATAATTTATCCAAAGTATGTTTACAACCGTGGGACGTATATACTGTAGGATCGCGTTGTTTACTACTGTATTTATATGCTCCGAAAGACGTTTACCTCGTTCGTTTCTATGTGAAAATAAAAATCGCATAAACAGGAAATTAAAATCGTAAACGTAAATAGCAAATCACTTAAAACCGTTATGGTTTTGATTCATTTCGAGTAGAAATTCATATAAACCGAAATATATAAAATTTTATACATTAACACAAATTATGTACTAACTAGAAAACATTTTAATTAACTGATGTTAAACAATAGATGCATTATATATAGTTTGATAACAACGTAGGAACTATAACTAATCTATCAATGTATTTGCGGTGTAGTAGGAGTTTGCATCTCATGTTTAGATAAATTAGTACATTTCGAGATGGGATCGGACGGTTAGATGACGTTACTCAAACCACAATTTGACCTATATCTCCATAAACTCCACCGTTATTTCGGCAAATAGAGTGTCGCATATAACATCTGTCAAATTACTAACTCGAATGACTTGGGTGTAATTGCAAACGGTTTATGTAGAAATTCGTTTTTGATTACTATCGAATGTAATGGCTTAGAATAACTATTATTCTGTGGTAGTGGTCGGATGGCATATGTTTTATTTTTACCATTGTAATGTAAGTACTTCTTCAATTTATCCGTTTGCGAAACTCAGTATCCATAGATAGTAAAGTTAACTGTAAAGGACAGTTAGAAATTTAATAATCTAACTGTGTAATAAACAAGCTGCTTAATAAATATGCTATTTAATAAACTACCTAGTTAACAAACAAGTCATTTAATAAACAAGGTATTTAATCATTGAACAATTAATAAAATAATTAAAAAGTCGAAGTAAAACAACCCAACCCAACGTTTAATCTTCTAGCAAGATAAGGCGACGAACTTCTATAAATTGCGAAAATTTCACCAAGATACCTTAAGAGTCCGATTTTTCACGATTTTTTAAAGATGATAGTAGTAAATTGTTACCTTCATAAAGTCATAAAAATTGAGGTTGATTTCAAAAGCTATTATCTCAAAGACGGATGGAGATTTTCAAATACGGTTTGATTCATGAAAAAGTACATACCTTCCTCTATAAACCATCAATATTTCATCAAGATATCTTAAAAATTCCATTTTTC